GGATGATAATTTTGATAACTGGGAGGCTAGTATTAATACGTATGTTTATTTACAGCACATCGCGTCCGAGGAACAAGTCCTTGTAGCCTTCCACGTATTGAAGGACGAAGCGGCCAGCTTCACCAGGTCCCTTGCGAGCACAGCTGATTGCGAGCACAACATGATTGCGTATTCCAGGCTCACCCCTCTTTCCACCTTCCTCAAACTCATGTGAGAGAGGTTTGCTGACGTCACAAGAGGCGTCAGGGCCTCTGATAAATTGCAGACCGTCCACTCTCCACAATGGAGGAGTACGCGAGCACTCAAAGCTGTCATGGACGACTTGGTAGCCGTCCCAGACCACGGGGTCACCGAGACCCAGTTGGTCCAATTATTTTATCGTGCCATGCTAGAGCCCTTGCGAGGGCATTTCTTCGACAAGACCCAACAGGCCAATATCACGTATGATGCGTTGAGTAGGGAAGTGGTCCTGTTTGAGGCGAGGTCCATGCCAGTTTCCACTTTCTGGCATAAGGACTTAGACAAGGGAAAGAAGTGGAAAGGTCGTACCATCTCAGGCCAGGTTAGGGCTAAGGATCACTTGATCCTTACTTTAGATGAAGGTGGTACATACGAAGTTCCCTACAGTCAGATAGAGTGGGGGCTAGAGGAGGAGGATAGTAGTGTAGGCCAGGGGAGGACCTATGTTGTTGTCACGGTCGGAGGGAGGCTGCAAGGTAGGGGAGGAGGCCAGGGCCAAAGGGGCCAAGCCTCGGGTGGTCGAGGACCGGGTGCACAGGGGGTTGGCGGCCAAAGGAACCGCCAAGAGGGAGGTAGGGGTCAAGGTGCCCCGCCAAATCATTAAGGTCCTAGTCGGTCCCTGCAGCTACGAGGTGGAGGATCACCTCAAAGGAGAGGAGGTTGGCACCCAGGTTGGCCACAAGGCCGGCCATGGGAAGATCTGGGTCTGGACCAGCGAGTGTGGCCGCAGCGTATGGACCAGGGTCAGTGCATATATTGCGGTGACCCGGCCCATATCATTACATATTGTCCTAAGTACAGGAAGGCCCGATCGGCTGCCCAAGAGTCAAAAGGCAGCCGCCGACAGGGGTTGCAGCTGCCCCTACTACTAGGCCATGTGGGGAAGCGAGCGCTCGCGAACAGGAAACTCCCACACCACATGTGCCTTCGGTAGCAGTTGCAGGCCGGTGCCTAGCTAGCTGTCCAGCGACTGCTTGTGTTAGCGTCTCTCTAGGCACTTCCCTCACAGGCGTGGCAAAAGAGTTGAAGGAGAGAATGCCTGCCTGGGCCAAAATGAAAAAGGATAGTAAGGGACAACTAGTTCTAGTTGATGTAGAGGTCTGTAGAAGTAGAGTAGGGGCCCTTATGGATTCAGGGGCTACCCGCAGTTATATAAGCCGTAAAGCGTTGAAGAAGCCAAGGCTAGGGTTAAAAGTCTAAAAGTTGGAAGACCCCATAGTTAGTGTCCTCGCAGACAACCGCACTATTCGTGTTGAGGACTACGTAGAGGGAGTCCAGGCGTATTTTCGCCTAGAGAAAGATGGGAAGGTGGATAAGGTTCTCCATTCCCTGACTCTCCTCGTACAGGATGACCTTCCTTTTGACATAGTCCTAGGCATGGATTGGGGAGAGGCAGCATGGGCCACACTTCATTTGAGAGAGCATGAGTGTAGGCTCTCTAGTCCATCAGGTGATGTTAAGATTGCGCGCCTGTTTCATGTGTCTGGAGTAGATAAATCCTTGGCACATTGTTGTCTCAGTGCTCCCGCGTTCGCGCGATTAGTAAGAAAGGACCAGTTAGAGGAGCAGGTCTTCGTAGCCTATGTGAGGCCTGCCACTGAGCCTAAGGAAGACACACTCGTAGACCGAGCTATTGCTGCTGGAAGAGCTTAAGGATTTGACAGAGCCGCCGACAGGAGTAGTGACACAACCAATCCAGCATCATATAGAGATAAAGCTTGGCAGTAGGACTCCTAAGGGAGCAGTCTACAGGATGTCCCCAAGGGAGTTAGAGGAGCTGCGTAAGCAGTTAGACGAGCACCTCGAAAAGGGGTGGATTAGGCCAGTTCATCTTCTGTTGGAGCACGAGTTTTGTTTGTCCCCAATAAGGAAGGAGAGTTACGGATGTGTATAGACTATAGGGGTCTAAATGCGATCACAGTGAAGAATGCTGAACCGCTGCCCAGGATAGACAATCTTTTAGATCGGGTGCAGGGTTGCAGATGTTTCTCGAAGATCGATTTGAAGTATGGATATCATCAGATAGAGGTCCATCCTGATGACCAGTACAAGACTGCGTTCCGAACTAGATATGGGCACTACGAGTTCATAGTGATGCCCTTTGGACTAACCAACGCGCCTGCCACGTTCCAACGTTGTATGAATGATTTGTTTAGGCCTTGGTTAGATAGATTTGTTGTAGTGTACCTAGACAATATATTAGTATTCAGTAGGACCCTCCAAGAGCATCAAGGTCATTTGAGGCAAGTCTTGGAGAAGTTGAGAGATGCTAACTTCAAGATCAATGCGAAGAAGTGCGAGTGGGCCAAAACACAAGTCTTGTACTTGGGCCACGTTTTAGACGGGGATGGCATTAAGCCTGAGGACAACAAGATAGCGACGATTAGAGATTGGCCGATGCCCCGCACATTGACTGAGTTGCGGTCGTTCCTAGGCCGAGCTAATTACTATAGGAAGTTCGTGAGGAACTTCTCGACTATCGCCGCTCCCCTTCGCAGATTGCTCAAGAAAGAGGCGATCTGGCAGTGGGATAAAGATTGTACGTCTGCGCTGAAGAAATTAAAGCGCGCATCAATAGAGTACCCTGTCCTCAAAGTAGCAGTTCCGTCTTTGCCATTTGTCGTCACCACGGACGTGAGTCAGTATGGTATAGGCGCCTTGTTACAGCAGGACGAGAGAGAATTGTCGTCACCACGGACGTGAGTCAGTATGGTATAGGCACCGTGAGTCAGTATGCTACAGACCCATAGAGTTCATGTCAACGAGGATGCCCTCAGAAAAGGTAGCTACCTCGACGTATGAGAGAGAATTCTACGCTCGCAGGCAGGCCTTAGAGCACTGGAAGCATTACCTGCTTGGGAGGCACTTCAAGGTGTATTCAGACCACGAGACACTTAGGTGGTTGAAGACAGGCCAAAATGACACCTAAGTTGACTAGGTGGGCCGCTGAGATAGACCAGTACGACTTTGAGCTCAAGCTTGTTAAAGGAAAGTACAATGTAGTTGCGGACGCTCTAAGTAGGAGATCAGAATACTTYGGAGCTATAGTTCACTATCTGGATATAGGGAGTGACCTGCAGGAGAATGTTAGACAGGCGTATGAGCAGGACCCTATTTATAGTGACCTCCTCAAGAGAGTTAAGGAGGCCCCCGAGATCGAACCAGATTACTGCACTACAAAGGGGTTGTTATTTGACAAGACTAATGTAGTAGACCGTCCGTGCGTCCCTACCAGCGAGGAGATTCGTAGTTTGAACCTCTAGGGGAATGCCACGACACAGAGGGACATTTCGGTTGGCAAAAGACTTTAGCCAACCTGATGCATGCGTATACTTGGCCAGGAATGAAAGCCGACTGCATAGAGTATATTCGCAGTTGCAAAGTTTGCTAGAGAAATAAGACCACTACGCGTGTTCCTCTAGGTCTTCTCAGACCCTTGCCTATTCCTGATCAGCCAGGAGATTCAGTGTCCATTGACTTTATGGACGCTGGCGTCAAGAGTAGGCACGACAAGAGCCAAGTCATGGTCATAGTTGATAGATTTAGTAAGTGTGTTGTTTTTGTTCCTTTGCCTGCAGAGGCACGCACCGAGTTAGTTATTCAGAAGTTTTTTTATTTTTGGGTTACTGAACATGGAGTCCCATTGTCCATAGTTAGCGATAGAGACACCCGGTTCACCAGTCAGAACTGGCAGGAACTGATGAAAGTTTATGGGTCAAAGTTGTTGATGTCGTCTGGCCGCCATCCAGAGACTAACAGTCAGACTGAGCAGATGAACAAGATCCTGCAACAAGTTCTGCGTATGTACATTAGACCAGATCAAGTCAATTGGGACGAGATGTTGCCCAAGGTAGCCAATAAGTATAACAACAACGTGCACTTGTCCACCTGTCGCACTCCCAACGAGTTACACAAGTCCTTTAGACCGCGCAGACCGTTTGAGGGGCTTAACCGGGATCAGATTCATAGGGTACCGCCCGGTACCAGGGAGTTCGTGATACAGCACGAGAGAGAGCTAGCTACACTCGTAGAGAACCTCAAGAAGGCCCAACATAGAATGATAGAGCAAGCCAACAAGCACCGTCGCCCATCGCAGTTCCAAGTAGGCGACCTGGTCTGGGTCAAGTCCAAAGAGTTTGCTCCTGAGGAAAACATCTCGCAGAAGTTACTGCCAGCGTACAGGGGACCATGGCCAGTTCTAGAAGTCAAGGGCGGAGAGGATTGGCAGTCCTACACAGTAGAGATCCCAGCACACCTCCACACCTACCCGGTGTTCCATGCATCAAAGTTGTTGCCGTGTGTCGCAAGTCAACAGTTTCCATCTAGAAGGTCCGTGATCCCTCCGGACATGGACAGAAGATACGACATTGATGGCATTGTAGGTGAAGAGGTGTTCAGAACAGGAGGTAGAGGTCGTCCACAGAAGCAATATAAGGTCCGGTTTGCTTATCAGGAACCGGAGGACGATCGCTGGTTTACCAGAACAGAACTGCTAGAAACAGCTCCCGACATAGTTAGGATCTACGATAGAGATAAGAAAGGTAAAGGTCCTGCCTTGGACTGAGTTATTCTCGGAGGACCGCGAATTTACGCCGGCGGGAGTGAAACGGTATTCACCTGTTCGCAGTAGCCGATGCAGATCCCAGGGCTCGATCCCTAGACTTACCTTACCTGTGTACAGTATCTGTGTCGACCCCGAGAGTTGAACCCGTGACCTRTGTATTTRTAACAGTTGGTAGACTGTCGTAGGGTCCGTAGGTAGTAGGGGTTCGATCTGTAGACCTGTCGGGTAGGAGTCTTAGCAAGGTCTAGAAGTCGTAGCTGTAGCTCCTCCGAAAGGTCAAGGTCGTAGTTGCTACAGTCCTGAAGGGTCAAAGTCGTAGCTGCTACAGTCCTGAAGGGTCAAAGTCGTAGCTGCTACAGTATCGAAAGGCCAAGTCCACGGCCTTCCGGAAGGTCCTAGTAGTGGCCTTTCGAAGCTGCTCACGTTTAGGCTGAGGCAAGTGGGCAAGTGGTGGAGTCCACCCGTGCTGAGTCAGCAGTCCCAGTCCCAGTCAGTCCTAGTCCAGTCAAGCAAGTACCGCACGGGACTGTGTGCACCACGGGCATGGGAAAAGGGGCAGACCAACAAAGATACAGAAGTATAAATCAAGAGGCTGCACCCAGCCATTCATTCATTCCTGCGTAAGCCATGTGGGAGCGCTGCCACAGCGACTTGTGCGAGGTGGTCTGCTGTGAGCCCGAAGACGAAGTGGACGAGAGAAGGAGCTTAGCCATAGCGATAGGGTAGCAGCGGCCATAGCCACCATAGCGTGTATGTGTGAGCGTGTGTATACAGTGTGATGCGTGTGGGGTATCCAGGGTGATCCTCTGTGTGTAGCGTGTATACAGTGTGATGCCTGTGGGGTATCCAGGGTGATCCTCTGTGTGTGTGTGTGTGTGTGTGTGTGTGTGTGTGTGTGTGTGTGTGTGTGTGTGTGTGTGTGTGTGTGAACAGAGAGTTGTACAGGCGCCGTGACGCCATAGCTATTTGAAATGATCTTGTATCTGATCTGCTTTCCTGGTTTCCATATCTCTGAGTTCTGAGTGGGCGCTCGTCGCCAGTTTGCTGCACAACCTGTTTACATGCATATGAAGGGTGAATGAGAGCGAGTCTGATTGCAGCAGGAAAAATATCAAAAAAATGAAAAAGAAGAAAAATAGACCGTGAATTTCGTGAAATAAATTCCACGCCGTTTGTCACATTTTCCAGTTTTGCCACTCTACCACATGTGGGCCAACGGGGAAAGTACCCCAACTTTCGCGATTTTTTGCGTTCAGAAGGATGTCTTAACAAGTCTGAAAATTTGAGGGTCCGTAGATTTTATCATGATCTTTATAGGAAAAATATTTAATAGAATTAAAAAAATCATTTTGACCGCGAAATAAATCGTGGGGGCAATTCGATGCATTTTCGAATTTTGCCACTATTCCAGTTCCCCCCACTGTGCTACCGGTAGCCTTCATGGACCTGTGCTATCGGTACCCCCTAATTAATGACGGCGGGGGTAGTGGTGGCTTAAGATCTTAAGGTCGTGCGTCAATCCAGGCCGTTGGCCCGGTACCTCGGGTCGACGGCCTAGATCATTTGCCTGTTGGAGGGGGCCATGGTACTTGCCGGGTACGGTCTCTTGGCTCGGTTTCGTTCGCCTTGTTGTAACGAACCCAGTCTAGTCATCCAAACATGTCGCAGATAACAATGTCGTGCAATGTCGTGAGATAATCAATCCAATAGGTCCATCAATTCGAAGTCGTTGAAGTACATGATTCCTCATTCTCAAGTGTAAGTCTCAAAGTCCGCAGTACCCAGAAAAAAGGGAGGAGGGGAGAATAGACAGTTGGAAGGAGAAGTGTGACACAACAAACAAGTCCCTCTTCTCCTTCAGGCTCCCCCACTTCTGCCATGTCAGCAATCTGCAATCAATGTGCCACGTCAGCAATCTGTAATTAATGTTCCATGTCAGCAATTTGTGCTTAATGTGCCACGTCAGCACTCTGTACTCAGTATGACATGTGGACGATGTTGAAGCAGCCTCTCGCGGACAAGCGATCCTCCAACAGCGAGCAGAATCGGCAACAGCTCCACATCTGAAGAAATCAGGTACGTATGGATGACAACTCACATCACCCACACCCTCTCTCTCTCTCTCCTCATTCCCTCGCTGTCATCTATGGTCACGGCCTTGCCGCCCTCTCCCTCTCTCTATACTAAGGTATCTGGCTGGCGCCCATGAAGCAGCCTGGTGCCAACACTCCCTCTCAAGTCTCGCATGCAGCGTTGTAGCCGCAATCAACTCACAAGACTGAATGCCCAAGCAGTGGCAAGGTCAACGTGATATAGTGTGGACTTGCCTGTTTAGGGTCAGCGTCGGTCCATGTGAGGCCCAAATCATCCGATTTGTCCCAGGTTCAGTTTGGACTCCTTGAGGCTGGAATCTTCCAGAACCTGCAGACCATTGTTAGACCATCCCAGATCGACGGCCTGGAAATCTTGTGTTCGGCCTGAGCCACTTCCAAGGCCGGTTTGACTCTTCTTCTTCCAGGGCTGCCCGTTTGTGCTTGTCTGCGGGCGAGATGTGAGCCCAGCGGCTCAATTTGGCACACTAGTTACAGCACTGTTGATGTCGTACATGCATTTGTACGCGCATTTATCTGTTTCTTCATTGTTTGTTATTCGAAGCTTCATCCATTGTGCAGCGCGCTGTCGTACACGAAGTTGTACTCCGCCGTGGGCGCTGTTGCGTATTGCCCTCTCTCTCTCTCTCACTCTCTCTCTCTCTCTCTTCCCCCCCCCCTCCTCCCCCCCAGTGAACTGTAAGCTATGGTGGTCCGGGGGCTGTTGGTTCCCGTGACGTGCGGTGGTCCGTGGAAAATGTGGTGAGCTCTGGTGGCGCGTGATGTGTGGTGATCCGTGCTCCGTGGGCTGTGGTGGCCTGTAAGGTGTTGTGGATGACTCCATTCGAAGCCGTTGTTGAGAGGGGGGATGCAGGTAAGTTCCTCCCCCTACTCCATTCTCTCTCTCTCTCTCTCTCTCTCTCTCTCTCTCTCTCTCTCTCTCTCTCTCTCTCTCTCTCTCTCTCTCTCTCCCCCCTGCGCTCCCCTCCGCCTTCTTTCCACTCCACCTGCACTCCCCGTTGCTGCTCCTCCCCCTCTCACCCACTGCTCTTCCGCTCTAACCCGCTTCTTGCCCCCATCCGCCGTCGCCCTTCCCCCAGCATCTGCGTACAACCCATCTAACTAACTATGCCCCCCCCCCCCCAACCGAACCCAACCCAAAACCAAGCAAGTGTAGTATCTGTTCCGATTGGTTTCATATATGATCCGTGGTCCATGGCGACCCTTTTTGCACTCGCGCGCTGGCCACTCTTCCACACCGCCCCACTTCTCCCCCCCTCCACCGCTGGTTCTCCCTTTGCTACCGCTTTTGCCCCTCTCCCCCCTCCTCTCCTTTCCACATCCTCCGCTTCCCTTTTCCCCCCTCCTTCTGTCCCCTCATTCTGCACGTGCTGCCCTCCGCCCTTCTCTCCCCTCCCCTTTTTCTCCCCTCATTCTCCACGCGCTGCCCTCCTCCCCTCTCCGCCTATGCTTCGCTCCACCTTCTCTCCACTCATTTTGCGTGCGCTCCCCTTCGCTCTTCTCCCCCTCCCTTTCCCTCCCCCCCCGCTCCTCCGTCCTCCGCTCCTTTCCGCTTCCTCCTACCCCTGTCTCTCCTCTCCGCCTGCTCTCCCTCATTCTGCGCACGCTCCTGCTTATGCTCACCTCCGCCCTTCTCCCCCCTCCTCCTTTCCCCTCACTCTACACGCACTCCCCTCCGTCCTTCTCCCGCCTCCGCCTTCACCCTTCACCCAAGCATCCGCCTACCCCCACCCGAAGATAACTACCGCAACCTCCCCTCTTCCCCCTTATCGAGTGTGCCATCGGTTTCGATCGGTTTCATATGTGATTTGTGGTCCATGGGGACCCTTCTTCTTTTGGGAAAAAAAGGAGGAAAAAAACGCACGCACTGTCGCCCTTTTTCCAGCCAAGCCACTTCTGACGACCGGAAAGCCAACAGGCTGTCACTCAAGATTTCATAGATTTTTGCAATAAAATAAGTTAAATCACTAAATTAATTAATGTAAATCCCTTCCTGTTGCAAGGAAGATTGGCAATAGCGAACTTCAGAAATCAACAGCATCATACACATGAGACCAGATAGTCGTGACCTCGAACGAATAGCATAATTGCATCACGAGTTTCACCAAATAAGAGCACACCAAAAGCTCATAATTGACAATGCTGGAATAGTCTCATCATTATCAACGAAGGACCAATGTTGATATCCTATTTGGCGCTCGGCGCCCAGACTACAGATGACAAATCCTATCTAGCCTACTCTACGATGCCGCTGATGACGTCAACAGCTCCCCGAAGTTCGAGCAGATCTCGGACACATGCACCCAAGGACCACCATGCGCCCCAAGGCCCACAACCTCGTTCCCCAACTCACAGATGCCACATGCACCCAAGGACCACCATGTGCCCCATCCAGCATACAGCAGCGCAGCTCGGCTATGGCTGCCTACTCCTTCTAGCTCACCCGTGAGCTCGTGAGCCTGGCCAGCGTTAGCGCAGCAGCGCTTGCTCAGCATGCAGCCATGCCGGAATTGTCGAATGTGTGGGCAGGCCCATTCCTAAATGGAAGCGGCCTGCCTGCAGTCTGGCTGCGCTGGGCCCCTTCCCAGAAGCTTCCGGTAGGCCCACAGAGGCTGAGCCCCAGTCCAAATGAATCAGCCCAAGGCCTGCGACAGTTACCCGTGCCCAACTGCCTATTATCTGAGTTGGGTCCATGCTGCGTACCTCGCCCAGGGCCTGACTCAGATGCATTTGATAAAGGAGGCCAGGGCCTGGGCGCGTTCAACCAACTGGCGCTGTGCAACTGCCTGAATTTCCCCAGTTGTGTGGTGACCCCAAAATTGGCCTGTCGGCCTCGGTCGAGCCTGCCTTCACTTAGGGCGGTCGACTATGCTGAAGATAGGGCTCAGTAAGGCGTATCGAGGCCTGGTGCCTTGCACTGTTGTGTGCGTTCGGCTTCGAGCGAGACCCTGCAATTGCGGTCTTCGCCGGTCCTCGGTCTTAGGAATCTTTTACTATGATTCAGAACAGTACTGATCTTGTAAATAATATTATAAGATTTAAATATGCCATGCACATATCGAGTTTGCCAATTTAGGAATTTGATGACTGTGACAAGACGAACAAAAAGTATAATCTTAGGCAATGTTAGCGCAAACCAATCAAGACTGGCTGCCTCAAGGCAAAGACAAGGTGAATGAGGGAAGGTGAGAACTCGTAATAATATCAGAAAGTATGGATGATAAGACATGGCCAGCACTTGTCAAGAGTCACTCTTCCCCCTCAAGTCTCATCTTTTTTTGCAGTAAAATAATTAAATTAATTAATGTAAATCCCTGCTTGTTGTGTGCGTTCGACTTCGAGCGAGACCTTTCAATTGCGTTCTTCGCTTGTCCTCGGTATTAGGAATCTTTTACTATGATTCAAAACAGTACTAATCTTGCAAATAATAAATTATAGAATTTAAATATGCCATGTACATATCGAGTTTGCCAATTTAAGAATTTGAGAACTGGGACAAGACCAATAGAAAGTATAATCTCAGGCAACGTCAGTGCAAACAAATCAACACTGGCTGTATTAAGGCAAAGACAACGTGAATGAGGGAAGGTGAGAACTCGTAATAATCTCAGAAAGTACATTTGATAAGACATGGCTAGCACTTGTCAAGAATCCTCACTCTTCCCTCTCAAGTCTCATCCTCGATCTCTCATTTGACCGTGCGTCTCGTACACTTTGAGCCATGTCTATGTGGCTTCTGAGATTGTGGCTTAGAGATGTAGAGCCACCTAAAGCCAGGCAGTTCCGAATACATCCATCCGAGGCCAAAGATACGGAAGTCAAGCATAGCACGAGATGTAGAGCCACCTAAAGCTAGTCAGTTCCGAATACGTCCATCCGAGGCCGAAGATACGAAAGTCAAGCATAGCACAAAACTCCTCCCATAGAGTAGGAAGATACGGCTTGGAGATCCCTCGTTTGAAATGCAGGAACTTTGATGGTTCAGTCACTGCCTCAATCGATCTCTGCAGGGGAGATATACTATACCTCTTGGCCAATTCAACCATGTCACCCCAATAACAACCATCGGTGAGGAAAAAGGGAACTGGAGGCCTTGGGTAATCAGTGTAGAGCTTGGGTCCAAAGCTACGGATCAGCTTTGCGCCACTCTCATCAAGCTCACGCTCTCTCTCCTCAAGATATTTGGCTGCTGTGATCTTGACTGAATCAAAGTGCTCATGTGCCGAGATAAATAGTGAAGCTACTCTGAATGTCTGATAAGACTGTCTGATTGAGGCTGATATTTGCAATGATGATAGGTCTTGACCGAGGATGATTGATGACGTTTTCAGATGATTGAAAGTTGTTAAATAACGGGCCACTGAATGCTCAAGACTGGAGAGAAATCTAGATTACTGAATAATGCTTGCTGAAAAGAAAATCATCAATGGGGTCTTTGAAAGGAAAGGGTCGGAGATCTCTCATAGTCCTCTGAGTCATGCCCTGGCCTGCTCAATAGTCTCTAGGGATGAACCAGTGCTGTGCAGCTTGCCGTCGTGATCGTGAAAATAGAAAACGTGTTCAATATACTTCTTTTTCCCAATTTTCAGAATAGCGTGTTCCTAAGGGCCTGCTTGTGAAGTTCGATGTCTTTCTCAGTCTCCATTTACCACCCCTCGTAACTGTTTGTATTGATTATGCACCTCACCACTGAAGTTTCTGCATCCTTCATGCTGTCCAGTTCTCTGTTTGGCAGACTGCAGCTCACTTCTCAATCTAACCTTCCAACTTTGTCTCTTTTCCTGGCTGTGCGCTGCGGAAACCCTTGAGACTCGGGTTTACTTGTGTATTTTTTTTATTCTGCTACCTGTTAGTAATACACCGAGTATGACTCACAAAAGGACTTTGTCCAGCAGCTTCTCCGAGTCCAAGCCCAATCTTTTCAGAGTTTAAAGTCTACTAATTCAAGTCTAGACTCAAGATCCCTATCATCTCACACTCACTGGTGTGATCCACATATGCCGATTTGTCAGCCTTACTCCTGAGCCTTGATTTCGAAAGGAACACAACTCAAGACCAAGCTTGTTCGCTCAAAAAAAAAGAAAAGGAACACCAAGTGTAATCCCTGACCGGTCTAGATATGTTTTTTGGTCTTTCGTGATTGTGCAAGGAAGATGAGCAATAGCGAATTCCAGAACTCAAACAGCATCATACATGAGTGACCAAAATAGCCATGACCTCGAACCATGAGCAGAATGGCATCACGAGTTATACCAAATAAGAACACAGCAATAGTTCATAATTGACAATGCTGAAGTTGTCTCTCATCATCATCAACAAAGAACACGAGTCGGTATCCTATTGGCGCTCGGCGCCCAGACTACAAGATGGCAGATCCTATCTAGCCTACTACTACAATGCCGAAGTTGACGTCAACAGCTTCACCGAAGTACGAGCATRTGCGGCCAAKGCCGCTCGCCTCAAGCACCAGGTATGACTTCCGCTTCGCTCTCAACCCCGATCCTCACCGCASAGATGCCTCTAGCACCCAAGGACCAACCTGCGCCCAACCCAGCTTACAGCAGGCAGCGTGGCTATGGCTGCCTGCTTCTTCCACMCTCGCCCGTGAGTGCGAGGGCGCCAGCCAGCAAAATAGCGCAGCAGCGCTGTCGCCGCATGCAGCCAGCACCCGAATGTCAAATGAGGAGGCAGGCCCTTCCCTATATCCCCGTGGCCTGCCTGCGTCCAGTCCAAGAAGCTTCCAGTAGGCCCCGGTAGCCTGAGGCCCAGTCACGAGCAATGCAGGCATTGGGCCTGACGTAGTTGCATGTGCCCAACTGCTTTCGGCCTGTGCTTGGCCCGGTACCCGTACCCAGCCCAGGGCCTGCTTTACATTCATTCACACGGGCGGCCCAGGGCCTGAGTTCATTCAACCAACTAATGCTGTGCAACTGCCTGAATTTCCCCTTTTTGCGGGGGTACCCTGAAAACGAGGCCCTGAGGGCCTGTCNGAGGCCCTGAGGGCCTGTCGTGCCTGCCTTCACTTAGGGCGGCCGACCTTGTTGCAAATAAGGCCCGTAGGGCWAAGCGGGCATAGCCTCRCATTCCCTCCTCCATATCTTCGTTAGTCCTCTGAGAAGATCAGTCTGCCGCCAGCTGGCGCTTTCCTTTCWAAACATCCCTCTCATAGCGGGCAACGATCTGAGGGGCGGTCTGCATCAATTCTTCCCGAGTAAACCAGCGGTCCTCCTTCGGATCTGTATGATGTCTGAAGTGAACACRGAACTGCAGCTTTGGCTTGGGAGGACGTCCTCTTCCTGGAGGCTTCTGAACGGGTATCTCTCTGTGATCGACGATATCATCGATGTCGACTTCTCCATCCATGGTTGGGGGCAACATAGAACGGCGAGTAGGAAACTGGTCGGTCTGCTTAAAAGCAGCGAGCTTGGAGGCGTGAAATACAGGGTAGGTGCGCAGGTGACCAGGGATACGGATGACATAGGATGGCCCATCTGGATCTGTCCCAACTATGTCCAAGACCTCCCAAGGCCCAAAGTACTGAGGCATGAGTTTGCGAGATATCCCCAACTCTTGTCCAAGTTCAGAGGACTTGACCCAGACTCTGTCCCCAACCTGAAATGCAGAAGGGCGGCGATGTTTATTTTCGGACTCAATCATTGCAGACTGTGCCTTCTGCATGTGTTCTACAGCCTCCTGCATCTTCTGTTCATAACGATAGGCAAACTCTAGAGTGCCGGTTGCAGTGTCTGGCTGATTGTCAGGTAGTAGAAAGTCTAAGGGCAGTCTAGGCTTAAACGTTAGTTGCAGACTGTTAGGACTCACCCCCGTAGCACTATGTACAACATTGTTATACAGACTGGCAACTAAAGCAAGCTTTTCGTCCCAGTCCACCTGGTTAGGCTTGATGTAGTGCCTCAACAGGTGCTGCACRGTGCGGTTCATCTGCTCCGCCTGGCCATTAGCTTCTGGATGGCTTCCAGAAGTCATCTGCAGTTGAGTTCCCTGTTCAGATGCAGCGGCTTTCCACAGTTCACTAGTGAACCGTACGTCTCTGTCACTAACAATAGACTTTGGTAGTCCAAAGTCTCTGACCCAGTTCTCCTTGAACAGTTTGATTACGTACTCGGTCYTTGCTGTTTCCGACATGGCTATTAATCTAGCATACTTACTAAATCTATCCACGATGACGAAGATCTGCCTCATTCCACTCATGCTGGTGATCAGCGTATCCATGAAGTCCATGGACAAGCTTTCACCTGGCCTTTCCGGAATCGGAAGGGGCTTAAGCAGCCCGAGAGGAGCTTGAGTACGGGGCTTGTCCCGTTGACAAACTTGACAAGTCTCCACATACAGCTGTGCATCTTGCATCATCGTGGGCCACCAGAATCGCTGCAGCAAGTTGGCTGCGGTCTTCTTATACCCAAAATGACCGGTGGCATCATGACACTCACCTAAAAACAAACTACGCAAAGACTCGCTATTTGGAACACACAAGCGTTTATTCCCTGCCTTCTCTAGGAACAGCAATCCATTGACCAACTCAAACTCGGCGGAGGTCTTTTTATCCTTCGCCACCAGTCTGCGTATGATCTCAGACATAAACTGGTCCTGATGATAGGCTTCCACAAAAGACTGAGTAACATTGTCCGTCAGGCCGAATTCAGTAATCAGCGCACCTGAGAAGTCCGGTCTGCGCGACAAGGCATCAGCAACCTTGTTGTACTCCCCTTTAAGATACTGAGGGTCAAAGTCATATTGCTCAATGACTTCGATCCAACGCTTAAGAGCGTCAGAGAGTACTGGCTGAGTTCTCATCCATCTCAGGGTCTGATGATCAGTCCGGAGGATGAAGAACCGCCCAAGGAGGTAGTGTCTCCAATGGGTGAGAGCCTTGTA